CAGGCGGGTCAGCTTTGCCTCCCAGAGGAAGTGGCAAGGCCCCAAACGGGGAAAGGGAACTGCTGCTGGCACCCTACCCCCTCCCTGGGGTAGCTAGTGGCCATGCCAGGCACAGGGCAGCAGGAAAGGACCAAATAAAGCTGCTGAGAAGGTGGCCCCTCCCAGCACATCCCACGGGCATGATGCAGCTGCTAATTCTGGGACGGCCCCTCAGGGCCGCATGCCACCCGCCAGCCACAGGCACCTGTCAGGCTATATTAAGAGCCGCTGTCACAGCCGAGGACTCTCCTTCCCGAGAAGAACTGTCCTTCCTCCCTCATGGCATCCACCTTTCTTTAACATTCCCTTCCTCTTCCTCCTCCTCAAAATGAATTGGGTTAATAACATGTACTGTTCTTGATACAAAGTAGGGGCTCAAAATAATGTTCCTTGCTTTAGTTTTCTCTGCCCCTGCCCACTCTGTCCCCAGTTCTCCCAGCCCCACTTCCTCTTCCCCAGGCTGCTAGTCCTCCCGTGTTCCCCTGCTCACCTCTTACACTGGCCAGCTCCCCAGGTCCCTGCCAGGCTCTCCAGTATGCTCCCCACGAGGAATTTTTTTTCTTTGGGATGGAGGAGTGCAGACGAGGGAGACAGTGCGGTGCCCACATCATGCCACCGTGTGACCTGTCTCAGAATCTCTCATTCCTCCCCTGGGCCTCACCAGGTTGTTTAGGAAGAAGGTGGGCGTTGGGAGAGCTGCCCAGAAACATCACCCCTCCAGCATGACCCGGCATGAAGGGCAAAGCACAGACCCCATACCAAGAGGTCCCTGAGGGTGCAGCACAGCCTTGAGGGTGACAGGGCCAACCTCCAGGGCCTGGGGTGGGAGAAGCAACCTTGGAAATGTTGGTTACATTTCTGTCCACCCCACCCCCTCCCGAACAGCCAGCCAGATCAATTGTGCACACAGGTTCTGTGAGCAGCCCTGGCTGAGGACAAGCTGTTCCCAGCTTGAAAAGGAGTGGTGGTAGTAGATTAGGAATCCCTACGGAGAGAAATGACTCCCTGCTGTCCTTGGTAGTCCGCCCTTCCTCGCTCCCCGATAATGATAAGGCTTGTATGATGGACTCCTTCCCAACACCGCCCCTCCGCCCCCTCTGCCCCCGAAAAGAAATAAGACCATGGGTATTAAGCAAGGGCTGAGGAGGCAGCTGCCCCAAGTCCCTGAGCTGCTGCCACTTGGGCACTCCAGTGAAACTCAAATCCACCTTTCTGGTCCTTGGAAATACGAGGTTACTTAGGCTCAGACTTCCAAGGCCAACTGAAGTTCTAGATGAAAGACCTCCCAGGGGAAACCTCCCCCCCAAAAAAATCCAAACTTACATATTCTGGATCAATTCTCAGCATTAACGCCCTCCCACATTTCCCCCCATTCTCTTCACCATCTCTGCTACTCTCCCTCCTACTCTTCTTGGCTGCTTCCCAGAATCCGAGCCCGTTAGCCCTTTAGAGCCCTGGGAGGGTGACTGAGCTATGTGTCAGTCCATTCATGCATTTTGGTTGCTCTGCCATTAGGTGTATAGTGTAGGACCAGCCCAGCCTGTGTCTGACTCCAGGGAGCTCCATTCCATTGTATTCTGTCTGTACAATGTGTGAACAGGACCCCTGTAGTTGGGCATCTTTATGATCCCTGAGTGTGAGAACAAAACCTCTGAAAACTTTCTAGAAAAATAGCTCATCACCAGTATTCAGCTAATGAGTATTCCTGCTGTCTTGGGCCCTTGGAATTTCCCTTTCAGGCAGGAGTCAGGGGAAAGGAAACACTGCTAGAAGCAAAATGGATGGGCTTTTTCTTCCGGTCTATGTCCCTGTCTTACTTACTTACTAGCTCCCTGGGTGACTGCCTCTTGCCTTGTATGTCTCCAGAGGTAAGCTAAAGTTTGAGCGCTGGGACGACTTATAATGTGATCTCAAATTCAACACTTTGTGAGAATTGTTTGGGCCATAGGTACATGGAAAAGATGACCAGACGGGAGGTCACATTCTCTAAATCTTCTAGTTCTGACTTTTCTGCCAATTGGATAACAGTCTCTATGAATCTCAAGATGTGCATTATTATTAAATATGAGAGTGAAAATGAACTCTGCTAGAAGCTTTGCTTCCTCTATTAGCGTGACCTCTCCGGGAATTAAAAGTCCGTTCTCTAGGCTCAAGAGTTGTGGTGGTGCATTGTTGGTTCGAATCACTAGCCACTTCACAGAAGCGAAAATGAGGGCGTCTGCTCCTAGAAAGGCTTGCAGTCTCAGAAACCCTGAGGATCAACTCGACGTTGCCCTGTCTGGTCCTCGTGATGCAGAATCAACTTGATAGCAGTGGGTTATTTTGGTTTTCCTAAGCTCAAGGAGCCCTGGTGGTACAGCATAGGAAGCACTGAGCTGCTAACTGAAAGGTCTGCTGTTCAAACCCACCAATCACTCCATGGGAGAAAGATGAGGCTGTCTGCTCCCATAAAGATACACATTTCAGAATTCCTAAGGAGCAGTTCTACCCTGTCCTGTCAGGTCACTGTGAGTTGGAATCAACTAGGTGGCAGTGGGCGGGATCCCAAAGCTCATGGACTAGAGGATGGCAGGCCGGAGGAAGAGACAGATGGAGCCAGACGGACCATACTACCCCTAACTTTTCCTTCTCTCTAGGCCTGAAGACCGGCGGTGGTACATCAGGTGGCTCCAGTGGCTCCTTTCACTACACCTTCCACGGGGACCCCCACGCCACCTTTGCCTCCTTCTTTGGTGGCTCCAACCCCTTCGATATCTTCTTTGCCAGCAGCCGTTCCACTCGACCTTTCAGCGGCTTTGACCCTGATGACATGGATGTGGATGAAGATGAGGACCCATTTGGTGCCTTCAGCCGCTTTGGCTTCAATGGGCTGAGTAGGGGTCCACGGCGAGCCCCAGAACCACTCTACCCTCGGCGCAAGGTGCAGGACCCACCCGTGGTGCATGAACTGAGGGTGTCCCTGGAGGAGATTTACCACGGCTCCACCAAGCGCATGAAGATCACAAGACGGCGCCTCAACCCCGATGGGCGAACTGTGCGCACCGAGGACAAGATCCTGCACATTGTTATCAAGCGTGGCTGGAAGGAGGGCACCAAGATCACCTTCCCCAAAGAAGGTGATGCCACACCTGACAATATCCCTGCCGACATCGTCTTTGTGCTCAAAGATAAGCCTCATGCCCACTTCCGCCGAGATGGCACCAACGTGCTCTACAGTGCCCTGATCAGCCTCAAAGAGGTAGGGCTAGTGGCTGTGTGGCTGTGTGTGTGTGTGTGTGTGTAGATGATTGAGACGGTTCCAAAACTTCCCACCAGCTGGGTAGTTCTTCCCCACTTCAATCTTTTTCCTTCCTTGCCCTGCACTCCCACCCTTTGTTGACGACCTCATTTTTCCCCAGGCGCTATGTGGCTGCACCGTGAACATTCCCACCATCGACGGCCGAGTGATCCCTTTGCCCTGCAATGATGTCATCAAGCCAGGCACTGTGAAGAGACTCCGTGGGGAGGGGCTTCCTTTCCCTAAGGTGCCCACCCAGCGGGGAGACCTCATTGTTGAGTTCAAAGTTCGCTTCCCAGACAGATTAACACCACAGACAAGACAAATCCTCAAGCAGCACCTGCCCTGTTCCTAGGCTCTGCCCAGCCAGCCCAGAGTCTACCACAGCAATACCCCCATCGTCCCACTCAATGTGCACCCAGTTCAACGTCCACTGGACACTGGCAACTTTTTCTAAATGCAAAAAAAAAAAAAAAAAGCCACTGGCTTTCAGGAAAATTATCCTGTCCCTGATCCCTTTAAAGCTGGGCTGCCTTGGGGGAGTGGGGAAGAGCTGGCCCAGTCCAAGGGTCAATTTTCATGTCACTAACTTTGAATCCCCTCCAGTCAGTGGCTGGAGAGCAACCTGAGTGCTACTTGAAGATAGATTCCTTGTCCCAGGCCTGTAAATAGCATGTCCTTCCTCTCTCCGCTTTGCTGATACCTTTCCTCTACCCTCTCTGTGTCCTCCTGCTGTTGGGGGAGGAAGAGAATAGAAAGGATACTGCTTTCCCCCACACCCCCCAGATCACAGTGTCCACCCCTCCGAGAGCCACGGTTACCATGCCCATATCCATGCGCATGGCTTTCTCACTGAGAGCGGTCTGTGCCTCTCTGGGGTTAAGATAGGAATAGAAGATCACAAGGCAGTACCCTGGGAACAGAGCCACTGAGCACGAGACACTTTTCACTTGGGGCAGGGACATGAACAAGGCCTTGGCAGCCTCCTGATAGCTGCCCTGCCTACACACCAGAGTAGCAAGTTCTGTCCTCCCTACTGCTCTCGGTGCGTGCAAGTGTAGAGGGCGGGGTAAGGGAGTCCTGCTGTCTTAAGGCTAAGAGCTGGCAAGCAATGTCCGTCTCCCAGGCTTCATCAGGGAAGGAAAGGGCTTTGGGGGCAGGTGGCAGCTATTCATTCTCCACCGAGATTCAGGGTCACAGGTTTTTCCCCACACCTCTGAACTCAGGGTCTAGCCACCTTCAAACTTCCAAATCCCACTTTTGTGATATGTGAAGCTAATTCTTTCTTATCCATCTTGGAGGCTGTGTGGGGATTTTACAGCCCTTTTATGCCTGTGTAACCCCACCCCATCCCCACCATTGTATAAAGGTGAAATTGTGGAGGAGCTGGGTGAAAGGCTTGTTCAGACAGATCCTGGGATGGGGGTCTTTAGATTTTCTCACTTTGACAAGCCCTTGAATGTTTTTATAGTAGTTTTTTTGTATTTTTTTGTAATGACAGTATTATGGAAAAAAATAAAAGTATTTTAAAAATAGGACATTTGAGCAGGAGCAATGAACGTGGAGTGGGGGTGGGTGTGCAGTGCCATTGTCAACACTCCTCCTAGGTTCCTGGTCACTTTCGAAAAGCTCAAGCAGGCCCTCCGTGAAGCTGAAGCTGAATCCTCTTCGCTCTAAGCCCCGCCTCCTGGACTTCCCTAAACATATGCCCTAAATGCAGCACAGCATTTCGCTATCGGAATAACAAATCTATTTGAAAAGAATAAATAGCTACTTTCCAGGTAATGCTGTTAGCAATAAAATGGGAGACCCTTCATTGTGGGGGCCTATATGCAACAACAAAAAAGAATAAATAGCATTGGTTATGAGAAAAAGAGACAGTCTTCTTCCAAGGATTTGCTACCATGAGAACTGAGATCTTCTCTACAGGAACTGAAATTTTCCCTTGAGAGGAAAGTATTTGAAAAACATTTTCCTGAGAGGTAAAGTTTTCCTCCCGAGAGGAGGAAAAGGGCTTTCTGGCTGATTCAAAGAGACACATCCCCAAGGATAGGGCCTGGCATCCTTGGCCCATGGTGACAGGACTGTCTGGGGACACAGGCTGTTGTTGTTGTTAGGTGTTATCATGTCACAGCAACCCAAGTACAACAGCACGACACGCTGCCCAGTGCTGCTCCATCCTTCCCATTTGAGCCTATTGTTGCAACCACTGTGTAAACTCGCCTTGTGGAGGGTCTTCCTCTCTCGCTGCTTCTGCACTTCACCAAGCATGATGTCCTGCTCCAGGGAGTGGTCTCTCCTGCAACTTGCCCAGAGTGAGACCAAGTCTCACCATCCTCCTTCCAAGGAGTGGTCTGGCTGTACTTCCAGGATAGATTTGTTTGTTCCGGCAGTCCAGACTCTCTGGAAGGTGTTGAATCATTGCTGATTCTTGAAGCTCTCTGACCCACCTGTCCCTGCCGAGACACCTCTGGCCCTCAGGACCGGCTTGACTTGGACACTTGTCACTTTCCCTGAGTCTGGGTAGAAAACACCCCAGCAGTCTCAAGAAAGCCCATCTGAGACTGCCCTTCCTCCTGGTGCTGACTTTTCTGTGTGTGGGAAGTTCCCAGCTAATTCCCAGATGCTTCTGCAGGATGGGGCCCCTGACAAGCACTCTCTTAGCTCAGTGTCCCCACTGCCATGAAGACAGTTCTGCTGTCAGCTGGGCTTGGGCTCCACACAGAGGATGACACTCACTGACTTGGGCTGTTTTCAGGGATCTTCCTGCTCCTTGCCATTTATTCCTGGGGGAAAACCACTTTAAAAACCCCTCACATTTTCAACCAAAACCTGTTTGGGAGGAACTTGTTCTTTCTATGGAGAGCCCTGGTGGTGTAGTGAGTAGTAACCACCAGCATCTCTGAGGGAGAAAGATGAGGCATTCTACTGCTGTGAAGAGTTAAAACTATCACAGAAACCCACAGGGGACATTCTACTCCGGCCTATCAGGTTGCTATAAGCCACAGTTTGGTCTGGTTTGGTAATTCCTGTGACATAAAACAGATTATCTTGCCGACAAGATGTCCGGGGGTCTCCTTGTTTGAGAAGAGAGAACTTTAATTCTACATTCCCTATTCAATCCCCTCCTGTATTGAGTCACCTAGGACTGTCCCTCTCTTCAGGCTAAATTCTTGTCCTGGCTCTTCCCTGAGGCCTGAAACTTTAGGAGCCATGGCTTCTACTGGGTCACAGTCTTCCCTCTGGCCTCCACATGGACATATGTGACTTGGGAAATTGTGATACCTCTGATGAGCACACTCTAGGGATGGAACCATGAGACCTTTGAAGCCAGGCTACCTGAGGAAAGGAGAACTTGGATGGACAAACTCTAAGGTCCATTCTGTAGCTCTACCTTCAATTGGGATTATACCCTTCTTGGAGGCTGCATGAAGAAAATGTGGAGCCATTTTATTATTATTTTTTTTAATGTGGAGCCATTTTATGTCAGTGGAAAGAACTCAGGTGTCACACTGGGTTAAGCACTTGGCTGCTAAGCAAAGAGCTGGTAGTTTGAACCCAATAGCTGCTCCCGGGGAGAAAGATGAGGCAGTCTGGTTCCATAAATATTTACAGATTCAAAAACACTGTGGAGCAGTTCTACTCAATCCTACAGGACCACCATGAATCAGAATCAGCTCCTGGCAGTAGATTCAGCGAGCTTATGCCTGTGACCACCTCCCCTTCTCTAACACACGTGCACACACACGTATAAAAACTTCTACCAGGTTTTCTTGTAGGGCTTTTATTGATTTTCTCTCACCTGATTCTGACCTTATCTTGAGCTTGTTTCCTGTGAAAACCCTTTTTCTTTGGGGAGATTGCTAACCGATTAACCACATTTGTCTGATGTGAAGGATGACAGGGCAATAATAGACTAACAAAAGAACTTAAAAGAAATATTTACAAAATGAAATACCCAAAGGGGCTTTGAAAGGCTCTGACATATTCCTTAGAATCTAGAACGCTGCATTCAGGGTGCTCACAAAAGACCTCAGAAGGCTCTAAAGCTCCCAACTCAGGTTGACTTTGAGTGTCTGCAAATAGGAAGTGAAGGTAAAACATAGTTTCTAACTTCCTATCTGAGTGTTGAAGGCATACTTTAACATGCAAAGACTGAGAAACTAATTGGCTCTAGTCATTTAAGGAGATCTCTATCCAATCATTAACTGACCACTAATCAAACCAAGCAAAAAGACTCCAGTAGTCATCCAAACAAAGAATATATACTGTCCAGAATTAATTCAGAAAAGCCACTAAGCAAGTAAACAGCAACAATAATAAAACTGAAGTGTAAATAAGGGGAAATTATTTACAGAGTTGTCACACATTATTTTAAATCCCTAGTTTTCTATGAGAAATTACAAGGCATACAAATACACAAGAAAGACTGGGGTGGGGGTGGGGGTGGGGAGGTGGGGAGGCAATCAATAAAAGCTGACCCTGAGGATTTACTAGATAAAAACTTTAAATGAGTTATTTTGAGTATATTCAAAGAACTAAATAATAATAATTCTAAAGAAACATATGAAAATTACACGTCAACAAATGAAGATTATCAACAAATAGAGATATATTAATTTTAAAAGAACCAAATAGCCTGGTGCTAAAAAAGGCAATGAAAATTTCAATAGATCTCAAGAACAGATTTGAGTAAGCAGTAAAAAGAAAGGGGGGAAAAGCAAAATAAAGATAAGGCAGTTGAGATTACCCAATAAAAGGAGCAGACAAAAATAATGAAAAATAAGTAAACCTCAGAGATCATCAAGCATACCAAAATGCATGCATGAGAATCCCAGAAAGAAAGTTTAAAAGGGGATGTAAGAAATAAATAATGGCTTGAAACTTTTAAATTTGGATGAAAATCATTAATCTACACATTCAAGAAACTCAACTCCAAGTATAAATCACTCAAATTTCCAAGTAGGATAAAATTATAACCAACTTTGATAGATTGACTCTAGGTAAAAGACAGTCAGAAATCTGAACGAAGCAACAGGAAAGTGACTCGTCAAACATAAGGAATTTTTATTAAGATCAGCAGTCTATTCAACCCGGTGTGCCAAGATATGAATGCAACATACCAGCATGAAGCAGGGAACCAACAGAGAGGTCTGCGTGGCTGGTCCCAATCCCAACTACATGGATACACCCCTTCCCCCTAGAAGAATTCACTTCAGAGGACAGCACTGAAGCTACAGCTCAGGGAGAGGGGCGCATCTCATGCGACCACACAGGAGCACACAAAGAGGGAAGGACAGAGAGTGGAGCACATCCTGGCCCACCAAGCCCCAAGAACGATATTCCTGCTCGAGCAACCAATGTACAGACAGGACCATAAGGTCAGCCCCACCATGAGACACAATGTTCCTCACCCCTATTGCTACAAGGGACAACACTGGAGGGACAGTGCAGGAATTGTACCCAATCTGACCCCACCACACTGGGGCTAAACGCTAAGGGTGTGCAACACATCAGCAAGGGGAGCAAAGCAATGAAGTCCCCAGGGA